CGATTGGACAGTGGGTGGATTTCCATGTCCACGAGTCCGGGTTATGGCTCTCTTAGTTGATTTTTTTCATGAACCCTCTGAACTACTCGTGAGGCCTAGCGGACTTCTCTCCTTCTGAAGAGAGAGAGCCTAAGTGGGTGAGCTCTAGTGCATCGAAGGGAGCCAGCAGGGGGGAAGGTGGTACTGGCACCCAATCGCACACCTGAGCAACAACAATTTTCACCAAAACTCACAGTTATCATGAAATTGTCAATTAACATACCCCGTCACCCAAAAGCTTTGGGCCAAGGTGTGCCGTAGGGATGTTCTCAACTGCTACTTCATCATTTTTGTGACTTCCCTGAAATTCATCGATGTGGTATTGCTCTTGGTGCACTACAAGTTGCCAGCACTGCAGTGGTAGGCGGAGTTGGACAAGGCTGCGCGCTCCTCTCATTGGTGCATTGCACGGGCTTCACAAACGCTCATCAATCAGGATTGCACGATCCTTGCCTAGCTCCGCCTAGCTTTCTAAAGTGGAGAAACTACCATATTTTGGGGAACATGGGATCGAGATAACAAGTAATTACCCGTTCCTTTTCTGCGGCTTCTCTTTTCTCCTCCTTTGACTCTTTCTCTTCAATTTCGCCTTTTTCTTTTAACTTTTTCTTCTTTTTCTTTGTCTCCAAAAGAGGAATGTTGTTTCAATGCGGTTCTGGCGCAGTTCGGCGACGGGGAGAAGGGGGCATTTCGCACAGTTGCTGCTTGACTACTTCCGGCTTACAAGTCTCACTTTGGGGAAAACCTGTTTACTGTTGTCTGCCCATAAGATAGTACTCTAAATGAGCGGACACGCCGATGGGAAGTAGCAAAAAAGCGAAATACTCCCCCCCCCCGTCGCGAACCGCCCCTGCTGCTTCATTTACTTATTCAATGAGAACTGTACCGTTACCGTGTTCTCGCTTGGCTTGCCTTTCCAGCGTAGTTTCCTAGAAATGAATTACATTTCAATGAAATTTTCATCTGAAAGTTATAAGGTAAATAGACTGGAGCATTATGTGGGCGAAAAAGAGGAAATCCGCAATTTCAAATGGGCGGAGTCTTGTGCCTATGGGGATGTCCTCATTGGAGCGTTCTCACTCTCATCGCACCGGAGAAAACGGCGCACCAATAAGGGCAGAACTGTTATGGATCTTCACCCACCTGGTTATCGCAGAATATGTCTTCATACTGCTGGTTGTGTTAGGGATGGAAGTATACGATAAAACCTGGAACTTACCTAGTGGGAAGTTTGCATATGAATGGACGCAGTGCTACTTTTGGTTTCTCAATATCAGTGGGCAGGATCTTCTTTGCTGTCTGCCTGTACGAATATCCTGGAAGGGGTGAAAGTGGCAGTAGTCTACTGTCATGGCATTATGTCACGCTCAATGCCACAGCAGGATGCGCTGCACACTTGCATGTGCTCTGCTATAAGTCAGGTGACATTAGGTCCGCTTTCGGCATTGCAAATGTGCAATCAAGCGCGCAGAAGGCTGACGATCAGGAGATCCATGTTGTTGCGATGTGCGGAAGATAGGAAAGTATTTTCTAGCTAGTCAATAGGGTAAACTGCAGCGCGGTCATCGTTGAATAAGTCATGTCTCGGTGCGAATGTCGCGCATGTGACAACTATCTATAAAGTTACCCAATTCTCACCGGAGAGATATCATGAAAGAATGGAGAAGAGTTGATGAGGGCAATGAAGTCCCCACTGGCTATGGCAACTCCATCCATAAGCACAGATTTGCTGAATTCGCATATATTTCTATGCTGCCATCTTTTTGTTCCTGGACTCTCTCCCGCGCTCACAGTGTTTCTTCATCTCCCACTTCTCTTATCATGCCGGAAATCAAATTTTCAACTGTGTAACCCTTTTTGTGCTCACATGTGAGTCGGCCAGCCTCACTTCTTCTTTACCCTGGTAAGCCTACAGGTTCTTATTTAGGCCCACGATATAAACGCTTCAACTGCCTATTGACCTGCTTGGACAAGAGCTGCTACTGACAGCAGTCGTGTAGAAGATCAGAGCACGCCATACATTGGAGAACTTCAGCGAAGGGGGAGGGGTCGCATTTGGTCGCGCTAGGGAGGGGTTCTTATTGTCGCATTTGCCATTGTGAAAAAAGGTTCCACTTGTTGACCTTTCTAGGTTTTTCTTGGCTCACTTGGCGCTGCATAACCCCACCACGCTCGTTGGTAGTTTTTTGGGGAGGGCTTAGAGGAGAAACCTTCTGGGGGGGGGGGGGGGAGGAATCGTATTCCATACAAATTTTCAATTTTCTCCCAACTGTAAGACATGCCCTGTGGGAGACATTCAATCAAACGATGAAAGTCTATGTTGTTAGGCTACATGGTCTTGCCAACGGAGTTGCCACCCGTCCGACCCCGGCAGGTATCTGTCGCGCGGTCAGGTTACAGTACCCATCCACGCCGAGAATCTGGATGGGCCACGTAGTCCTGCAGCCTGCTGTGTGCATTTACGTCCAACAAAATTAATCTCACGCACAATTTTCGGCGGCACTGTATGTACCCTGACAACCTGGACTTATAATTCAGTCACTCAACCAACCTACCCTTTCTTTCGCATTGCTTCTCGTTTCAACTTCTTTTGCTGCTGTTTGTCCGCAAATGAGTGGGATTCGCCGCTGTGTGATGAAGAGCTTTGTGCTGATTCTTTACTGCTTGTCTTTTCTTTCTTATCTTTCCCTTGATCTTTCGTATCATCTTGTTTTTTAAGATATTTGTGGTATTCTTTATTGATGAAATCAGCGCCAACCTTCTTTCCTGGAAATCGTCACTAACTGATAATAACCACAAATATTTTGTGACGTCCAAAAAGGGGTCCCTATGCCTCTATCGCCCAGGGTGCGTGTAGACCTCGCGTTGACGCGCGCACGTCGACGCGCTACCGTTGCAGTAGCGCTCCTGTGCTATAGACGAGAGAGCGGCCATAGGCGGCTATTGATCGGCGGCGGCCAGTGTTTTCGGAGTATAGGAGAATGAGAGAGTCCCAGAGTGAGTGATTAGACGTCATTGGACAGAATTGGATACCCGATACCCGTCTATGGCTGCGTCCCCGTCCATAGCAGTCGGTCGCGATTGAGCGGTAGTGCGTCAAAGCGCGTCATCGCGAAGTCTGCACTCTACTACATTCACTCGCGACACGCATCCCGTCTGATTATCAATTAATGTCACGCAACAGGGGTTACGGTACATGTTTCATACGGACGATGGTCTCCTAAATTAGTGATAGTTGTCAGCAATTACTCCGTGAGTATGAGCTCGGCATAAGTTTGTAGGTGGCATTGGGCCAGTGTGATGGGCTCTAGAGCCCAAAAGGTAACTCTTCAGCGGGGCCAAGCCTTTCTATGTCTGCGTCCTCTTACCTGCCAACGTTGCGCTCCACAATCTTGCTCATTGCGGATGCAGACGTGTCGGGGCTGAATTTGACAGGGCGCCATCTCAGTTTCTGCCAACCGATGTCGTTTGCCCCCTTTAACGATTGGCGAAGAGCAAGCTCGCGCCACACCAATCCCAGCTTCCCTGACACTCTCCAGCGTTTGCAGCGTGCAAGACTACAGCATGGCTTTGTCCACGTCAAATGCCCCTATTTCCAGAAGAACTTAAACGAACATTTCCGGACTGCGAACGGTAAAGTTGTCGCTTCAGAATATGATGTGGGTATGCCTCGCTGGAAGGTAGTCCCTCCCAAGGTGCACGGCGCCTGGTATTCAGGTTCTCCCTCTACGAAAGAATGGCACCAGCCCGTTCTCCACCAATTGTGGTCGCCTGTCAGCTTCATTGGCGGAGAAAGGACTGGCGCAGCGCCAGACCCAATCGCTGTGATACGCCCAGCGCTTGTAGCAGACAGGACTGTAACTTCTGATTGCTTGACCAATTCAAGGTTATTTCCATTAGCAGGGGTGAACATCCCGTCGGAGTCATGACCGCCACCCTTGACATTTTTCCCTTCTAAACAACTTGGTCGCAACCACGATCATGTCACCTGCGTCAGTTAGACATGACCTTGATCGAAAAGCAGTTTACTAGTAAGGCTTACTTTCTCTGCTCTCCTGGTCAGTCCTGAAAGACGTACAGCATCACTTACCCAAGTTCTTGCCCAGCATTATTGCACGAGTTGATGAGGAATAGCAAAGATGAGAAATGAACCACCCTCGCTGTGAGTAGTGCTAAATTGAATGATAACTAGTGATACTAGTCACATGCAGTGATAATATTCAAAGGCAGCGCCCGCTATCGCCATTGGTAGGTTGAAGGGTTGAGAATCATTAGATCGCGTGGTAAGTAAGTTAGAAGAAAAGGAAAAAGTAAAAACATGCTGTCGTGAATGTCCTAAATAAGAACCCTGTTGGCTCAGAACATTATATGAGGGAACGTTGCAGAGAATTTGAGTATAGAAAAGTGAGGCAGATCCTTGTATGGCTGAATACAAATAATATAAACCAAAACATACAAACGGCCGAGAAATCTTAGTCGCTGACGCTTTGATTTGTGATTTGATTAAAGGCAGTTGGCACGATAACTCCCCCCCCCCCCTCAAGACGAGTAGGATTAATGCACCTGGCAGGACGAAATTCCGCGACCTTGATCAGGCGCTGCATAGTTTTTCAGAGGTGCCCTTATAAGGGCCCTATCAAGCCACAACATACCGACCCAAACGCCCGCCCGCCCACAAATGGACGACCGTTCCTGACGCTCGTATTGATTCATTTGCTAAGCAAATTATGAAGCGAAGGGATTGGTATGAAGCGGCCGTGATGCTGCATGGATATATGAGTACACATATGCAGCCGTACCTTCGGTAGCGGTTATTGGCAAGATGCCTACGGGAAACTCGTCCAAAATTGATTTTTAAGTCATTGAGAACAAGGCTTTTTCCTCGCAGATTTTCACTCCGTTCTTTCGCCGTTTTCCGCTATATATGGGCCTCTAACTAGCATTAGGCCGAGCACCAAATCATCGTGCGAACCGCCGTTAATATATAGGATCGGGCTGCGTTCATAGTTTGCGGCAGCGTCCACCAGGGTTCCAAGCGCAGCGTCAGCGACTGGAACAGTCTATATGGCGATCTGGCGTCTGCCAGCGTCACCAGCGACCAGCAGCGTCTCGAGGGCAGGGCGATGTATAGATCTGTCAGCGCCTAGCGTCTACCAGAGACAGTAACGCTTACGAGGGGTAGTATGGGGGATGGGAGGGAGCAGACGCGCTGCTAAAATATGGGGCGATGGAAGGGTAGCTGACAGCTGCTACTCTCCCATCGCTCCGTACCATCTTCCACCAGTCTGCTGCCTGTCGCTGGTGGACGCTGGTAGACGCTGATAAACGCTAGATTGACACCCAAACCCTCGAGATTTAGCTCTCGAGACGCTGCTGGTCCTGGTGTATGCTGGCAGCCTTAGATCGATATTTAGGCAGCGTTCAGGCTTTGCGAAAGCGGCATTTTGGTCGCGCATTTCGACGCGATCGATGCAGTCGAAAGCATGCGCATCGATCGCGTCGAACGCGCGACCGAGCGCTGCCGTCGCGAAGTCTGAACGCTGCCTTAGACTGTTCTAGTCGCTCGGAACGCTGGCGGACTATGCCCTCAAGGTACTAAGGCAATCTAATCTGGGTAGGGGATTGCAATACACGCAGCACACTTCGAATCGAAAAACGGCCAGTTTTTTTTAGTGGAACTTCAATCAGGGGCTCAACCAACTAACATCGCACCCAGAGACTTTCAGTTCAATGCTCACCGGTATTCTCGTCAGTCTTATGTTAATTAACGCGGATCACCTGTTTTAGCGCGATATGGTGAAAACGAAAATTGCTTTAGCTTTGGTACGAAAGACAGTGAGCACGTCACAATGGTTGTCACTATAACGTCAAGAGCGAGCGTCGTGTTTTCAGGGTATGGCAGCGTTCAGACTTCGCGATCGCATCTTCTAGCGGAACGTTTCGCGAAGTCTTAACGCTGCATTTTCTGCAAAGTCGCTTTGAGACTGGTTGAGTTGACATTGCCGGCGCGACGGTGAGCGCAACTGCTCACGCCGCCTCGCCGCCGCTCTTCGTCACCTCTGAACCAACGTGAGGGATCCCACAATCGTCACTGAACTTTCCATTTCTGGCTCTGAGAATCCTTCAAGTCTAAGGCCCTACGTTTTGCCATGCGCTGATGCTAGAGATTGCTACTGGAATACGACACCAAGGTAAGCTGGAAAATGGGACGAAAAAAAATAGAAACCTGCTCATAAGCGGAATGGAGTTTGCTGAGAACTCTTGCAGGTCAATACATGGGCCATGGCAGGTCCACACCTCTTGGATGTACAAGCTTTCAGTTGAAGACGCTCCCAGCGATCGAGTGGTCCTCAAAATGACTCTGTGCTTTTCGAACTGCGCGTTCACACGAGGAACAACTATCTTCGTCCCTCGAAACGGCGAGATAAAGAAGTTAGAGACACGTGAGCGTGGCAACGCGTGCGACATCATACTGTAGCTGTACGAGACAACGGCTCACAAGCTTCTATTCCTACAACACCCGTACGGCACGTGTCGCGCGCGGCGCTTCTGGCACTTTGCCATCTTCGGTGATCCACGCTTTCCATAGCGATTAGGCGCAAGCCTCGCACCGTTGGACCTAAATTGAAGACGACTTAGGCTGTTTTAGGGTTCCATAGTCTTTGCAAGCGCGATTCCAATTAGGAGGATGTGAACAAAAGAGCAGCAAGCCTTTCTTGAGTTTCATACTCTGCAAGCGATGGGAAGGACGTGAACTGAAGAGCAGGTAGTTCGTCTTCCATACCTCGTCGCAAGAGGAAGGATGTGAAATGAAGAGCAGTTAGTGTGTTTCTCATTTAGATGGGGGCACTATTCAAGTGTTACGACCCCAATTTCTGACATCGTGCATCGCGGAGTTCGCTGTTCCCACTGTTGTTTCTGGATCCAACGAAGGTGCACCCCGTTTTCGCAAAAGCTTTTAGAAGAATACTCGCGTATACGCGAGAACTCTGGTGCCACTGGCGCGTTATTTTCTTCCACCTACTTAAATATACCAGATGCTCAATTATTCACAAATTCGTTCATGACAAAGTTCTACGCATTGTTCATTCGTGCTAATAAAGATTGTTTCATGGAAATTGCCTATTCATTTATGCATTTGTTACGGTGCAAACATGAAGGTGAGGGAAAAAATCTCAGTATTAGAACAACCATAAACGCACAACCATATTAGGTAAGGTAAGTAATGACTTTCAGAGGACTTAAAGACACATTTTGCGATCGCAATCCGCGAAGTAGACATTAGTTATGAATGAATGTGTACGAGCTAACTGGCTGGCTAAGCAGAAAAGAACGCGCAGAAAGCGCTCTAAATGACGTCCTGTTGATTCTCAGCATCGGAGAGCATAGGCAGCGTTCAGACTTCGCGACGGCAGCGCTTCGGTCGCGCGTTCGACGCGATCGATGCAGTCGAAAGCATGCGCATCGATCGCGTCGAACGCGCGACCGAAGCGCTGCCGTCGCGAAGTCTGAACGCTGCCTACGGTGAGTACAGACGCAAGAGCGTCTATCGTCCCAGACGTTCTTGCCTGCTCTATGGCAGTTTTTGTTTCTGGGGAAAAAGGAAAAACTTTCGAGAAAAAACTTGTAAAAGTTAGGGAAGTTGGGAAAAATTCAAAAAATGGTGGGATGAAGAATGGGACAAGGAAGGGGTTGAACAGAGTGACTGGGGAAGGTCGTGCCAGAGAACTCCGATGGAGGGTTCTATTGCAAAAATTTTCTGTAAGGACGTGCCCTGAATAGGTGGGAAAAATAATGTTACATATGCGATCGTAACTTTTCAGCAGCTCGAGAAATATGATGAGCGTGCTTCACCTTACTAGGGGTTAAGGAAGAGTAGCCTCTACAAACAAGATTCCAAGTTATGTCCACGCACAGAGACCTAGGATCGAACCTAGGAAATGAAACTGCAAACGATGCATGGACTAAGCATGGTTCAGTGCAATACACCGATATTCCCACACGAGCGAATATGGTTCAATCCCGAGTGACACAAACAGATTTTACCAATTTCCATGCTCCAAATGTAGCTATTTGTGGCAAAATGAACTACGGAACTATGGTTGCAGTGAGATTTTTCTTTACATTTTGAGGCAGCGCAGGACTTGTGGTACT